CAAAGAATTCTCTTGACTTATTGAAAGGATAGAAGAACACCGTGCACATGAGCAAACCAGAACTGTTGTTAATGCAATAAAGGTGAAGGGCCAGCCTGGATTCTCTCATACTGGCATGTACAGTGGGGAAAACAAAGCTGCCCTACCCCTTGTGCTTTTGTGCAGAGGGTGTAGACACACCTATGTTTGGAACACTTTCAAAAGAAGTGTAGGGTGTGCTGCCTTTGCTTGATCTGCTGTACTAGATGAAGGAAAGCAGGACAACGCTCTGACCTCAGTCATAGTACTTTGGACAGACCCAACTGTGGGAGGAGGAAATGACTGCTAAACCTCCACAGAGAGTGCCTCAATAATCCTGTTCCCTCTCTCTGCTGCACCAGGGATTAGGTTCTTATTTCTAATTTTAGTTCTTAACAGAACTAGGGTGCCAAACCAGTAGCATAATGAGGATAGGATGAACAGGACATCAGACCTAGGCACCAACTTAGAGTGGGCACAAGAATGGCAACCACTATCACTGCCAGCCTCGCCACTGTAGCCACTGCCACTGGCCCAGATGTAACCTTTGGCATTGCTGCTGCCCCAGCCACAGAAGATGCTTGTTATAGCTCTGCACCAGCCACAGTGGATGCATCCCCATGAGCACACATGTGCATTTCCGTGGGGACAAATAGTAGTGGCATATATTTGTCACTGCTATTTATCCCCAGGCATGTCCGTGCATATATGCTCTGGTGCATGGCAAATTGCTCTGAGTGGGGTACAGGAGTCTGGAGCCAGCACCTGGGCTGGTGCCACCAGCCTTACCTGAGGTCTTAGGGGCCTCCTGGGGCAGCAGCAGTGCCAATCCAGATGTTCAGAGCCTGGCCAGCAGGCTCACTTTCCAGTGGCACATGCTGCTTCCACATCCATCCTACGGTTTTGTTTGGGGGTTTTGGGGGGCGGGGGATGAGGGGTTGCTGTTTGTGGTTTTTTGCAGCGGGTTTTTTTGTTCTTTTGTTGTTGTTTTTTTGACACTGGGATCTCCTCGTGTCAAAAAAATCCACTGTACTGCAAACCAGCAGCATAGCGAACACATGCACATGTGCTATGTGTGGTTTGTGGCACTGCAAACTGCATGTGCAGGCTCGTGGGGCTATGCTCAGTGTTCTTATCCAGATCTGGGTGCTTGGTTTGGTCCTAGATATTAGGCCTTGTACAGCTCCATGGGCAAAAAAAATTCACCTGGGCTCAAGTTACCTCTTATCATAAGAAATATTTTTAAAGTTTAAAAAAAAATAAAGATTTTAAAGAAAAGGAAGAATCCTTTAAAGATTTTTAAAGAAAAAAATTAAACAAAATGTTTTCTCAAGAAACAGCCTCCGGTTTCCATCCATTTGAAAAGGGGAAAAGGTCTTAACTTTTCCATTGGCAAAGGGAAGCCCTTTGAAAGAGGTTGGTCACCAGTAAAGCTAATTTAACAAAAAGTAATTCAGTGAGGTTCCCCATTTCAGCCAAAGAAGTACAGTTTAGCATTTGGGATGCTGGGAACATGGAAATTTGAGAGATGAAGTTAAAGACTTCAGGTCATCAGGGAGAATATTTGTTTTTTGGAGGGTCATAAGAAAATATATTATGTTGTTACTGGCTGTTTAATTTCATAAAATGTATTTTGAACCTATTTAAAACTATTCGGACATTATAATGCATCCTGCTCCCACCACACCAATGGCCCCAGGAGTGTTGGGGCCAGCACCTTATCTACATTTGTATCTCCAGTTCTAATGACAATTTGGCAAAAGTCCAGAGGGCCTAATTCAGGTTTCTGAGTTTGTAGTAAAAAATTCAGCTGGGGGAGAGTTGCAGGGGAGGTGCAAAGCATCCTGGGATGCTGAGAGACTGGGAGTTCATTTGAATCTGGAGGGGATCTGAGGCAGAAGTTCAATAAACCGATTTAACCTAAATCAGTGAAGTCTGATACTACATCCATCCATGTTTATATTAAACCAGTTTCAGCCATTTTGAAAACAGTTTATACGTACCGTACTTCTGTTATGTTACAGATTTGGACCAATTCCTGATCACTTTTGCAGGTTTATGTGTAATATCCATCCCTAGCTATAGAGTTTTAACCACAGCAGGGCACCATAGCTACTCGGTGTCCTTTCATTTAACTCATACACACATCAACTCCCAGGAATGCATGCTGTTGATCAACATGGGATAAATAAGAATATCTGGATCATACGGCTCTGATAATATTACCTGTTTTACGCCCACTCTATTCCATCTCCCCTTGGACTTTTAACATTGCAGCTATCTGAACCACTTTACAAAGCCACTATTTTAAAAAATAATTATACCCACAAAAAGAGTTCATCTCAGAGCCTCTTTAAAAATTTATCAGGCTGTGCATGCATGCAAAATGCTATAAAATTGGTTGAGGTTCCTTTGAAATGCAGTGTGTGACATGTTTTTATTTATTTTCTTAATTCAAGAAATGAGCCTGTTTTTTTTTAAAACCAACAAAGACAACCAAAATTTTATCTCTGGTTTTGATGCCTAGACACAAGAGAATAAGAGATTAGAAATGGATTAGCACTGGAATTTTTAAATGTACACTAAGGGCTACCATGAGACTTACCACAGAGGAAGAGACTGTATGAGAAGAAAAAATAAATCTGATCCAAACACTGAATGAATAAGGAAAATGAACAGTTAACTGTAGAATGTTAAACCTGGTTGAAGAGGCAGGTATTACCATTGCTTGCCTTTTTTTTTCCCTACCAGCTGCTCAGACTTTTTGGAAACACTTTTTAGGACCAAAAGAAAGAGTATGGATAGAAAAAGTCATTTCACCTCTTCACAGGAAAATGCAGGTAAGAAGCATTGGCACCTCACTCACCCAAAAAAGGTGGCATGGAAGTGTCAGTGGCTCAGAGGTCACTTGACACGTGCCCATAGCCGCCCTAGCTCCTTTGAGGCTTGCAGCAGAGACAGGGTGCCACCCCTTCTCAACAGGAAACATGTACAATCAATGAATCATAAAGAGAGCCGGTCATGTTTTATGACAAAAATAAAATGATAAGTTCGCTTTGAAATCTGTTCTTGTCTTTAGTGCATAGGAACTTAAACTGGTTTATGACCTGCTTGATATCTTGGATTGCAGGTGGCAAAGGCAGGCCACGACTGATAAGATGACTGATACAGCACAAGTTGGTGCACTGAGCAAATGTGCTCGTTAAGCAGGAATCTTAAATTGTGGGGGGATATTTGCCTGTGTCCCTCCTTCACCCCTCCCCTGATTTACTGCTTCAGCTTTACCTCACTGGTAGAGAAGACAGCTGAGAGTTATAAGATACTTTTGTCATAGATTTCATGGGACCTGGAATTCATCTGAGGTCTCAGATATTGCTTTCATTATTCAAAATAAAAGTAGGAATAAATTGTTCCTAATTAACATAGCAACATATAATGCAGTCTGGCCTCCAAGAGAAAGTAACATGCGAACTAGAAAACCTGTTGTACCTGTTGCATAATGAGACCACCCCCAAGTGCAGGGCCACCTTTGCTCTCCCTGGGGAATTGCTTGTTCTTAGGATTGCTCAATGACTAAGGTACTAGTCAACATGAGTAAGGATGATAGAATGAGGCCTCTAACAAGTACTATTCTGTTACACCTTTATTTGAAGACCAACGGCATGAAGCAACCTCTTCTCACTGGTCTTTTTAGGGATTACATAAGGCAACATTTCACTTTACCTCCTTTTTATGTGTATAGATGGGGAGAGAGGGAAAGGATGTTTTCTGTGTGGAGGAAAGTAATTTCCTTGGAATTAATTTCAGCAAGGTTCATGCTTTCTATCCCAGCATATTTTTTCAGATGAGTAGGTTAGGAACTTCCTTGTTCCTTATTTATTGTTAAATAAAATAATAACTGCTAGTTTAATAAGATGGAAATGAAGGAGACACAATTACTGCCCAAACATGCCATTTGGGACAGGTCCCTTTTTCTGTCCCTGTGCTGGATGGAACCATGGATATGGTTAAGCACTTTTCATACCACCATTCCTTTAGTTTGGAGGCCACTAAGTGGAGACAGGATGGATAAGAGTAAGCGGTGATGCGTGACTTCCCATACTCTCTCACTTTCTGGGACCAAGGGGAGCCTTCCAGGACTCAGAAGCTGTCCATCCCTCCACCTTTCCTTCCATTAGAAGTGAGTGGTTCCTCTGGCTAGTACAGCGATTCTTGACCAGGTTGTTGTAGCACCCTGCAGTGCCATTAGATCCCTGAAGGGTGTTATGAGGTTTGAGGTGATAAGCAGATAAGTGCAGGCTCGTGCTTCTCCCTACCTGGCTGATCCTCCACTCCTATGCCCTGGCCCTTCTGCAAGGAGGTAAGCAATGTAATATAAAACTTAGTTTTTTGAAATTGAGTGCAGAAAGATCAAAAATCACTGCTCTAGTACTTGTTAGTTTGACCTCTTGATCTAGTCCTGATATATTCTGCCTTTCCAAAGTTGCATTTGGTCATCCAGATGGCATTTTGTCATGGCTCACTGCAGCAAACACATCATCACTATCAGTGCCGGTGGAAAAATTTCTGTGGCATTGTGTTCTTTTGGAATATGTGGTTCTGCGAAAAACAACCACTCTTGTAACATCAGATCAATTTCACTAGAATTTCATGCTGGGGGGGAACTTGGAGAAAAGTTCTGATCCTAATGAAATACCTCATTTCAACACTTTTGGGGGGAAGAATAACCCTTTTAAATTTGTTTTCATTTTGAAATGACTTTCTTTTGATGTGTTTGTATTATGTACTGTGGTATGAAATCAAAGCATCAAAATATTTTAATCCATGTAAGATGGCTATTTCTTTTTAATTTTCCTTGCAATTAATTTCAAAATATAGGGCTTTGGTTCCAATTCAGAGGGAAATCAAGTTTTGAAATATGAAAATCCTTTATGAGATGAAATTTCAGTCCCCCTCATGACTCTATTCCAGTGGTTTTCAACCTGTGGCCCACAGACTATGTGTCTAAGAGGTCCGTGAAAGATGACTGACCAATCAAAAGCATGTGAATACCCACACTTACAATTAAAGGTGTCCACACCTCCATTAGAAATTCCCAAAAGGTCTCCACCTCCGTTCAAAATTTTGTAGGGGTCTGCAAATGAAAATAGGTTGAAAACCACTGCTCTATTTGATACCCAATATGAGCGCTCATTAGCAGTAACTGCATGTAGAAAGATATTGCAAGTTCAAAGATAAAGGCTGACTTTTGATTTTTTTCCTTTTTTTAATTGATCCTAAACGTTCCTTGAAAAGTTGCAGAAAAGGAAGGATGGCTGTAGTTCATTGACCAAAAAGATCCCCTCTTTGTCTTTGCCTGTATGCTGCCTGCTGCTACTCACTAAACACAGGTGGCTTTCCAGACTGAGCCACTGCAACTGCTCCATGTGAAAGGTACTATGCAAATGTATGCTGTTGTTCGAAATATCAGATCACGTACCTGCTATATATCACAACACATTGCATGCTGATGGCAGCCCATCACACTGACCATTAACTAGACCTGAGTTGCTCAGTGAAGTAACACTTCATGTAAATGCATAATAAAGGGGAAATTTCACATTTTGTTCACATATTAACACAACATCCAGAAGAATGACTTCCCTATGACTTCCTGAGCACTCTAATTGATCTAGTGGAGAGTTCAGACTGAGTGAGCCCCTGCAGAAAAGATCCATTTCAGTATGCACTCAGATCTGGTTGTATCAAATGCTTCTTAATTTTCCAGACTTGGAAAGCTACTGAAAGAAACTAATATCTGAGACTTCTCAGTCATTTCATGTACTTGCTGTCTCTCTAACATGAACAGCCCCACAAACCCTGTCAAGAGCCCTACCACCCTGTCATTCTGTTCAGTGGACTACTTTTTTCATGTCCCTTGGCAAGATGTAACCTGACTGGGCATACATGATAGTAGAGCAGGCTACTCTACAAGGCTCCTTGCCAAAAAACAGAGAACATAGTATTCAAATACTAGTCAGAGAACATACTACCCACATCAGAAAATGAAACATCAGGGTGCCCCCTGGCAGAAGAGGACAAAACACCTCTTCCACAGATTAATGGAATGAACAGGAAGAGAGAAGAGAAACATGGAAACTGAGAGAATAGACACAAAAGGCCTGAGTGGGACAAGGGGAAAGAATGACAGGGCCTCATAAGGACCATGTACTGGCATTGGGCACTCATCACCATCTCAAATGCAATAACTTGAACCCTATCCTCATCATGCCTTTCTCAGTCCTTCACTTGCTCTGAGGACAGTAGAAAAACCCAGTCTGCCCTGACTATTCTAGCGGTGTGACAAAAAATCCTTTCTTGTTCAATAAAGTTGACTAGTTCAGCAGACCAAAAAACACAGCCAAAAGTGAATCCCAAGAGTATGGGTTGCTGACCAGGTATGAGACTGCTCCACTTGGAATATGTCCTTCCAAGTTGGGCAGATCAGAACCAGATGAGGTTCAACATTGAGAAGTGTAAAGTGCTCCATTTGGGGTTGAACAATCCCCAATACTTACAGGCTTGGTGTTGCCAAAGTGACTAGCACGAGGACTGAAAGGCACCTCAGGGTAATAATAGATAATAGTATGAACGTGAGCTGTCAATACGATGCTGTAGCCAGCAGGGCAAACAATACTCTGGCATGCATCAACCGAAGCATCTCACGCAAAACCAAAGAAGTGATTCTTCCACTTTACTCAGCATTGGTGAGACCGCAGCTGGAGAACTGCATCCAATTCTGGGTGTTGTACTTGAACAAGGACGTGGAAAAGCTTGAGAGAGAGAAAAGAGTGAGACTAAGAGTGAGACTAAGGTAGAGTGTGAGTCAGAGCAGAAGAGAGTGAATGTAGAAGAGAAAAAGAAAGAAAGAAACAGGCATCTTTCTTTTTTAAAAGTTCCACTGTCTTCTCTGTGAAGACAGGCTTCTGTAGCGGAAAGAGAAGGAGGGAGGGAGGGAGATACTGTATCTCTAGGGTAGTACAGGAGATGGGGGCAGGTAACTGGAAAAGCAGCGGCCTTTTCCACAAAAGAATAAGCAGTGCTGGCCCCATAAACCTGGCATTAATTGTGTCCCCCCTTTTTTTTTAACAAGTGAAACTCATTGGACATTCCAGAAATAACACAACTGCATCCCTCAGTGTGTAAGGCACTAGGCCAAGATCTCGAGCCACACAGGCCAATTTGTTTATACTCTGAACTGCATTTTTAGCCAGTTCTGCAAAGCCAACTTGAAGTGCCAGCTCCTCCTAGTAAGGAGTCTAACATCCTGCGCAATAAAGAAAGATGCCCTAAACTATTGAGAGAGAGAGAGAGTGGAGTCTTGCTCAAGGCTAAGGCATTGTACAGGCCTGGATCTATGTAAAGCAGCCAGCATTAGAGGACATGACACAACCTGCCGTAGGAATTGTACTGAAACTCCAAGCATGTCAGAGCAAGAAAGCATTGGAGCAGTGACTGATGAAGATTAGTCTAGATAGAGGGGAGGAATGGTATGTAAAAGAAGGAGGGGGTAGCTACATGGCTATGGGGAAGGAAAGGCAGGGTGGAGCCAGTGATTCTGCCTGGTGGCCTGCCAAGATACATATATGTTAATTGAGCAATCCTGTTTCAGTGCTTTTCATGCAGGTAACAAAAGACTGGCATGTGTGTGTGTAGGCGGGTGGACTAGGAATGCACAACTAGCCGTGTGGAACTATCTCCAACCAGAGCCTTCATGAGACACAAACATGACTGCACTGGAATAGTCCAGAGTTCATTTCAAGGGATTCCAAACAAACAATAATGTGTCTTTAAGGAAATAAAACCCAGAAAAAGAAGACCTCCAGGTGGGATTGTGAATGACGAGGGTTTGGGGCCACCCCCACAAGATTCTGAAAGCCACAAGAACTCCTTGGTTAATAAAAGCAAAGGAAGATGCTGAAAACATGCCAGAAGTGATGTCCTCTTGGGAGCACAGAGGGTCAAATTCAGGTCTCATTGAAGCCAATGGGAGTTTTGCTGTTGACTTTTGTAAAGGCCCAGGTTTCTCCCCAAATCCCTTAGTATCCTCTCCCTGCCCCCACCACTTCACACCCTGTAGGCCTTTCCAACAGTAATGCATGCCACAGCAGGCCTGACTCTCACACCTCCCCCTGCCACCATAGACCAAGTTCCTGATTGTAAATAATATTAGGTTTCATTCACCAGATCACTGTCAGGACAGAAAGAACATTATTTTGATACTGTAGAGTGGGAAAAGAAGTGAAGAGCAGTTCAGGACCTGGACCTTTAAAAATGAGTGCCTTGCACAAATTTCTAGTTAGGGTGGTGATTTCAATTTCAGTTCATCTAAGACTTGGCATAGTCTCCCTATTCTTTTGCAAAGACCATTCCCACTCCCCTTCCTCTTCCCCCTCTGTCCCCCAAAAGAAAAAAAAATAGCACCTTCTCCCTCCAAACATCAGGCTGGGACACTGATTCAGCACTGACTCAGAGGGAAGAATGGCTTCCTCTTGAATCACCAGCACCACAGTGATCTGAATTTTCCTAAGGAGTCTATCAAAATATCATTGATCCTGCTTTGCCTACAAGAGTTAAATAGATTATATTCATGGAAGTCTAAACAAGAAAGAGAAAATAATACACAGACAACAGAGCATGACGAAGTTATGAGCCTAAGCTTCAAATACATGATCTAACAATGCAGACACAGCAATTTTTAAAGCCAGCAAAAACCATTATGATCTTCTAGCCCAGTGGTGATCAGTGTTTTGGTCCTGTGGCCCAGTGGAATGGTGCAGGGCTAGGCCTGACCAGATCTGACCCTGCACCTAGATGGGGCTCAGGGCCCCACACTGGGGCTATGCATTGCTTTTGCCTGGCCCCCCACACAAAGATCAGAGCCTGCACTTCCCTGTGACCTAAGCTAGTGTGCAGGGCCATGATTCTGGGGGATCTCCAAGTACCTATTTCCTCTTCAATTTCCTTCACTGCTAACCAGTCCCTTGTTCATTGTCATTGGGCTATGAAAGCAAGAATTTTTAAGAGGAATGATGAGGTGTCTCCTTTTCTATGGGATAAACCCTGCAGGAAAAGAGCCACTTCACCACATCTCTCTTGAAATCTTTGAACTTCACTTATTTGCAGGAGTGGAAGGAATGCGAGTGTTACTGACCACCCCCCAACACACACACACACACCTACATTCCACCACAGACAGCACTGCCCTCCCAAGAGATGGCCCAGCGAGGGAAGACACAACAGTCAACAGGGCATTTTCACTCAAATAAGTGTTTGGACACATAGCCAGAAGGGTTTTGCTTGGATTTTTTTTAACACAAACTAGTGGCACCGCTTTAGTCCTAAAATGCTATGAAATACTTAGCCCTGGGAGGCAAGGAGTGGAAGAGACAAGGTATCAATCTGTTGTGTTATTTGCCTGCAGTCCACCCATCAGAATTGATCCTTTATGATAGATGACCACTCCAGGCCATCATGCAATCTGGGGTAGGTCATTCCATCAAGCAATAAGCCAGGCTGCAGGACAAGTGTTGTTATAGCTAGCTAGCTGGTGGCTTAGCAATAGCACAATGCAATGCATGAGAAGGGTCTACAGACCTGGACTTGGTCCTTCACTGCCAAGCCAGGGAACTGTGACCTAAAGCGGCCTTCCCAAAAAAGTAGTCCCAAAAGCCTATTCCACTGATGGAAATTCCCCCCTGAATCTTTTCAGCTGCTTGCCTATTGTTTCTAATTGGCCAAATGCCCTGTGTTTAACAACCATGCATTTGTTCCTTTCCAAACGAGTGCCAGCAATGATTAGTCTCCTGTGCTTCTGTGGAAGTGGGGAAGGTGAAGAGGTTCTGCAAGTCTTGCTGCCTTTTCTGTAGGGAAAAATAAGCCTGGCCTAAGCAAAAGAATGGGTATTAGCTGAATCTTTCCTACCAAGGCCAGATAAAAAAGGACACAGCATTTTACTTGCACCACTTTGGTTCTAAGCACAGCACTATTAATCATTGCTGTGAGAGGACTTTGCCTCTCAGGAGATGAGAAGTTTATTACATGATAAGCTGTAAAACAAATATTAATGGTAAAAGGATGCTTTCATTTTTAAGGCACTGGACTGACACTTGAGTGCCTCTTAATTCTGTGTCAGTCCTTGGGTAAGCCACTTAGCTTTTCTCTGAGTTTGTCCATAATTTTCTGTTAGTAAGTAGTATTCTTTTCTCCTACCCTTTGTCTGCCATTTATTGGGAAGCTCCCTGTAGCAAGCAGTCTCTTTGTATTATGAGTTTACAGTGTTTACACCAATAGGGATCCTAAAGAGCTTCTAGGTGTTATCAGAATATTCATAATGGATGTCTCCTGCCATACTAATAGCTAACCTAGAGTAGGATCACATTGGAATATGAGCTGCTTTGATGTTGTATCTCTGGCTTCATTGGGGACCCTATATCCATTGTAAATCTATCTCTATATGATCGGATGTCCACTGTGGGCATGACACAGCAGGCACCATAAAAAGTAAAAAACTGTTAGCAATAACCTCAAGTCAGTCCCAGTTCAACAAAACTTTCAAATGATTCTCAAATACGTACTGTCATCACTAAAGGAACTTAATAAGACACTTAAAGTGTAGGCCTTAGTTTTCTATGCTAAATATAAAAAGAGTTCTGGTTTTATGGATGCTTCTGCAGTATGTGTTGGTTGGTGGCCCATCTCAGTGTTTTTACTTTGCTGAATGGTTTCATGTGTAATATTATTCAGAGAATTCTGCCTTCTGCAACATAAGTATCAGTAAGACCTTCATTGCATGGACTGCCCTACTGGATACAGCCTGTGTTTCTTTATATATGTGCATCTGAGTCGAGAGAATATTCTTTTTTAAAGGGCCCTGATTCTCTTCAAGGATTCTGAGCAATTAATCTCCTATAGATAATGGACTGCCTTCACATTCCCTATTCAGCTGAAATGCACACTCTTTCTGCTTACCTGTTTCTGTTTTACCCATGCAACCTAGAGATCTCTCACACGTCTTCTAGTTCCCATGGTTTTAAGAGGGTCATCCATACACCAGAAACACAGGTGTTTTTACACATTTAGGTAAGCCTCGCCTTGTGTTTATAGAGAATGTCTGTTCTTACAGAAACCATTGCACACAACCTGCTGCTGCTGCTGCTGAACATTTGCATAGATTTGATTAGGTGACACAGTGCAGTGTGTGTATTTCTGCTTACAAGGACTATAGGCAACAGCTTTTTTGCTCCCTCTCCTTGTTTGCACACTGGCCTTAGGTTCCTACTTTACGCTGTGTGTGATTATGCAATCACATGTAAGGTATAGCCAAGAGGGAGTTACAGTTATGAAAATTAAAATGCTACATTGCATAACATTGTATAAAAGAGTAAGTTTTATCCAGTTTTCTTTGCATTGGTTACAAAATAGCAAAGAGATGCAAGACCTAGAATTACCACCCATGTCACTTGATTTTGTTGGCTCCCAGCAAAGAGCACATTTAATCTGCTAGACCAGTGGTTTTCAACCATTTTTTAGACTCATAACCCCTCATTATAGCTTATAACTTTTGTGAATTGAGCAGCACCCAATTTAAAAAACACTAATTTATTAAACATAAGTTTACTGCTTATGTCCTTGCAGAAGGGCTAGGCAAAGAGAGTGAGATCCTGAATCTGCCCTTATCATGTATAACTATAGATTATACTATACAACTACAACTATATAACTGGTACACAGCAGCAATTTTACTTCTTCCAGAAGCAACATGGTGAGAAACAACTTGCCAAAAATACATGCATGAATTTTCATGTGTGTATATTTTCCATCTATTCCACCCCCACCCCCACCCCAGCACCAATGTTAACCCTTAGGGGCAAGGATTAAATGTAGTCCCTTATGGCCCAGATTATGCGGATGGGTCTCTTCTGCCCATCAATTTGTAGAAAATAATACATGGTTTTGCATTAAGGAAGTGAAATGTGTTATCTCTTATGTAGACTGGTGAGAGAATAGAGATTTCTGAGCTGTCTGTTTCAAACAGCTAATTAGCATCAGGCAGGATGAAGTGAAGCCATTCTCCCTCATTGCCTATGCAAATGTTGTGATACTTCCTTCTCATACCCTCTTGATAAGGTATTTAGCAGAATTCACAGATTTGGTGGAATCTGACAAGGCTGCACCACAGGTACTTCTGCTATAGCCTCAAACTTGCAATCTCTAGGCTGTCAGCCATGTACCTGAGTGCCTACGCCACCCTTGCTCACATATTATGCTATGGTGTTGCTGCTACAAAAGTATAACAAAGACAGAAAGCACAGACTGTTTAGCTATGTCTGAAAATAAGCATGTTCTGCCTGTGCCAATTTTGTTTGCGTGTGAGGTATGTGACTGTTTTGTATAGAAAGGAAGTTGACATAGGTATGGTATGAGTGTGCTCAAGGGTGTGTCTGCACTCCAGTCCTTGCTGTACTTGAGATGCCTAACTTCCCATGCCAGCATTAAATCAGCAAGCTTAGGTACTGCTGGCAATATAGCCTAGCAGCATAAAGCTCAGTGCCCAAGTATTCACTGAGCTTCTCAGGTGAGTCTTTTTTGCAACTGGTACAGAGGTCTCTGCTGCTTTCGTTACACCATTCCTTTTAAAGCTAGCTAAGACATATCTATACTACACCGCAAGCACAGCACACTGCAGGGTGGACATGTGCATGTGTGTGCACATGCGTGCATGCATGCATATGTGTGTGTAAGAGAGAGAGAGATTGTGCATATATTTAGGTGTGCTTAAGAGAGGTAATATGTATGGCTGAACATGTTACCATAGGTGACTAAGTGTATAGTAGGAAAAGAGAGGGCTTGTGTGTGACTGTGCAGAGGGATTTAAGTGTGAATGTGAGGTATCAGGTGTGTAGCATGTGTGTGCATGCACAAAAAGGTAGCAGCCCTGGGAACCAGAAGTTAGGAGGGACCAATGGGCTGTGGTGCACTTTCTGGCCCTGCCAGCTGAGGCTTTAATTATCTCCACACGCGCCTTTTGTCACAGCATGATTTTCAGTTAAGATAAGCAGCGGCATACTGTCATAAACCCACAAGGTGTGTAAGTGTATGGGAGGGGAGAGGCACACTTCTGTTTGAATAGCATTACAAAATGGAGACATTATATAGCACCAAAGGCAAGAGTCAGACAACTGTATTGCTGAAATGAGGCAATTTTCTGAGCTCCTTTGAATTTGAATAGAGTATGCTTCCCCACTGTGAAACTGCTACTGTCACTAGGGACCAGGGAGAGCTGATCATACCAACAAAGATTTTTTTCAACCATGTATCTTTGATGCCTAAGTGTGAAGATCACAGAAAGGGGTGTCCTGTTTTCAAATGAGAGGGTATTGGAGCACTTATTCACCATTCTGGTATGGGGGAACAGAACAGCATGCCCTATCAGTTTAGGCCTGTCATTCCTAGAGAGAGTTCAAAAGGTAGCCTCTCTAATTCCTCAATCCTAGTGTCGGCACCATTGTCAGGATACATGTGGAGAACAAAGAAATGGGACAGATCCCTCCCAGCTATGGGAAAAGGGGAGAGAGACTATAATGAAAGGAGCTGATGCATGAGGGAGCAGTGGAGAGTTGAGGGCAAGCCTGGTATCAGAGAGTGGATGTCGTTGTACAGTTAAGAATAAGCCAGGTGTATCATAGCTGTATCACAGA